TAAACAACCTCTAAAAAACAAAGTTTTCAGTCTAAATCCATTATGAAATGTAATGTCAAGCAATGGGGGTGGGGGGGGGGAGGAGGAGGCTCAAAATTAGACAAAAATTAACACCAATAACGCACTTTATAAGACTTCTAATTAGTGCTCCCCCAGCCACCCCCACCCCCACCGCCTCAAGGCTAGCAACCGTACACTTGTTTTCCCCGCATCAGAATTATATTAATATTCAAATGACCCATACTCTTTTTAACAACGCAGATTTATTTCACTATTTCACAAAAACAAAAAAATAAAATATTATGCACCAAGCACACTTGCGATATTATTCTTTTTAAGAATCTCATTTAGCGCAGTTAATCGGGAATTTTCCTTCATTTTCACCTAGTCAAACGGGAAAATGGATTGTTTGTAGTGGGGCTGAAAATTTCAAATAATGTGTTGTCATCGGCAACGAGTCTATGTACCAAGTTTCAGCTTGACGGGAACAGCGTCTATTAGCCATCCGAAGATTTTGCCACCCAACCCGACTGTCAGTTGGCCAGCAGGTACCCACGAACAAAAGCGAAGTTAATATAAAGGATTTTAAAAAATAACATTTATTATAACACACTTAAATATAAAAGATAAAACTGTAAAACGCGCTCATCGCTATACAACGTAATATATCATCATCGTCACAAGCAGAACTTGTCCCATGTCACCTCATAGATAGATTGCTGTGTTTTTAAAGCTGTTTTAAGACCACGGATTGCATCGGAAGAACGGCTTTCTAAACGTTTCTGAACACGACAAAACCAAGGTCTTCTTTATATACAGGCATATTTTGAATATTTTTTGTTGTTGTTTGCTTCTTGTTAAGACATTCTCCTTCTCCTCAGTAATTCGCCACCTTGACAATTCAATAATATCAACAGATGTTCTTCAATTGAAATATCTTTTTTTTTTTTAAATTGTTATATAATATACTTCATTTCAGTTCATGTTCTCTTAATTTTAAAGTTTGATTTTTTACAACTGTATGGCGTTGAAAGATCGAATTCATGCTAGTAAAGCTAATTATTTCAAATGATTTTAAACATCAGTTATGTTTGGTTCCATTACTTGTGATATACCATTTACAGCACATGCGATGTTGTCCGGATCGTGTAAAGCATATCCAATACACAGGCCCGGGTGATCATGTACATCAGGCCTGCACAACTAAAAATGTAATTCGGGCCGTGATACCCAGTGGGTGCTTGCGGACCGCATGTGGCCCACGGGCCTTATGTTGTGCAGGCTTGATGTACAGCATTCCATTATACAGGTACTTACTTCAACAAACAAAGACTTACCATAGTTTTCAATCCAATCGTAAGGTGGGTATTGTTTTTAATAAAAGAGTTTCGAAAATGAATTCAAACAAGGGATTAAGGTCGTCACGTGCTTCGTTCATTCAACTTATTTTTAATGATCTATCAGAATTGTCCTTTTCCGTTTGCAAAGATTAGAACAGAATCCGTTGCAAAAAAAAAACAACAACAAAAAACAAGACCAAAAAAACACAAAAACAATAATTAAACACAAATTTAAAAAGATGTAAGAAATATAAAGCAGGAAATGAATATTTATTTCCATCCTTTTCTGTTTTTGAAATCGTGTAATAAAGTAAGCATTATATTAGATTTGGGGAAAGACTTAGCTCGGTTCAGATGATCATAGCTTCATCAAATTTCTTTTTCAACGATAAAAAAGTGCGTTCAAAAAGAAAGTTGACGCAAATTTCACGTAAATTTGATCGTGCGAACTGAACTGAGCACAACAAGGAATATCTGTAATAATAATTACCGAACCCAACTTGTCATTCCCGCTCTCACTGCGCACCGACATGCACACTCATTCACTGCTTCCCCCCTCAATCGTGCGCTCGATCACGTCACAACTAATGCACACAAAAAAACAGATTCCAGAGAAAAAAAGTAAATGCGGTGTGACGACGAAGGACCCCCGGTGTTCAGGGCTGGCAGCAGCGTTTGATCATCCTGACTCCCATCCGCCTGTTTTAAAATGAGCAAGTTGTCAGTACAAGTCTATTTAAACACCGGCAAAAATGACGGCACTCACCGTCATTACCTCACGACGACATCAATCAGCCTACAGTCCTCACCAACTTTATATAATGTCAATACCAGTGAGCGTTGGTGGATATATGGTGCACCACCTGGAATTATTATAATAGATTAAAGCACATCTTCTATAGATTAAAGCACATCTTCTTTAGATTGAAGCACATCTTCTATAGATTAAAGCACATCTACTATAGATTAAAGCACATCTTATATAGATTAAAGCACATCTTATATAGACTAAAGCACATCTTATATAGATTAAAGCACATCTTCTATAGACTAAAGCACATCTTATATAGATTAAAGCACATCTTCTATAGATTAAAGCACATCTTATATAGACTAAAGCACATCTTATATAGATTAAAGCACATCTTATATAGATTAAAGCACATCTTATATAGATTAAAGCACATCTTCTATAGATTAAAGCACATCTTATATAGATTAAGCACATCTTATATAGATTAAAGCACATCTTATATAGATTAAAGCACATCTTATATAGATTAAAGCACATCTTATATAGATTAAAGCACATCTTATATAGACTAAAGCACATCTTATATATAGATTAAGCACATCTTATATAGATTAAAGCACATCTTATATAGACTAAAGCACATCTTATATAGATTAAGCACATCTTATATAGATTAAGCACATCTTATATAGATTAAGCACATCTTATATAGATTAAAGCACATCTTATATAGATTAAAGCACATCTTTGCGCATTTTACATGCGCGTAACGTGGTAGCTTTGCTGCCAGCTAGTCTTGAATATCCCACAAATTATAACTTCGATATGTTGCGTAATGAAAAGTTGTAAGCATAATCTTGCTTGTCAATGTTCATTGATAACATGTATGTATGAGAGAAAAAACCATGTGAACAACAGAACAAAATAATCATATTTAACAACTCAAAAAATTGTTAATCTAACTTTTTTTTTTGTGTTTTGGAGGTGTTTGGGGAATTTTTGAAATTACTCAATTTTAATTATTTCATTCTGGTGTTCAGCATCGAACACAGACCACTAATTGCCTCAGGGAACAGGTGAACAGAAAGTATGGAATACCCACATGGCCATGAGTCTTGGTAATTAATCTAAATGCTTTATAATTATGCCTTCTTCTATTTATTGTACTTATCTCACTGTCAAACCTATTTTAATTTCATTCCTTTATCTCTTGTACGATGCCTATATTCATTTTACCACCTGAACTGTCGATAGATGTGCACACCATGTTTGAAACGACTTACACACACAATGGTGTTATTCAAGCACACACATATTCAATGAGATGTGTATAGGTTTGACACAACGCTATTTAACAAGTCCACTAGGTGGCCACACTCTTTTTCAATTACACTTACCCCGATTTTCTCAAAATTGTAAAAATAAAACCCAATGATTTATTAAACAATTTCAAAGTTTACATTTTATAAAGACAATTTTAGTTCGTAGTGGTTTGACTAATTTAATTACTTTAGAAAAGAATGTAAGCATTGCCAGTAATTCTATCAAACGTGTCTGTTCAAAAAACGAGTATTGGGCAGTGGCGTAGCTAGCGGGGTGCGAGGGTTGCGGAACGCACCGGGTGACACCATCTCAGGGGAGGGGTGACACAACATTGAAAAAAAAATGCAAATTTACAGAGAACTCACTGCTCGATCTAACCGAAATTCATAGAAATATAACCGAAAACCCGTACATTTTCCACACATATCCAATTCAAATGCGTGCTATATTCAAAATTCAAGGTTGATGTGTCAGAAATCAGGTAACCCTGAAGTTAGGTCGTAAGCTACAGGAAGCTGTATTTATTATAATTCTGAGAAATAAACCTTTCCATCGATACCAAGTTCGATCTGGTCGAGCGATTCTAAGTACACGAATCGAATCGGTAAAAAGTAAAAAAAAACAATTAAAATTAACTTTTTTACCCATTTATAGCAGGCCTGCAAAACATACGGCCCACCAGCACAAAGCCCGCGAAGTAACGAAAAATGGTGGGGGTGACACCATGAGTTTACCGCACCGGGTGACACCAACCCTAGCTACGCCACTGGTGTATAAGGGATACAATAATTGTTGACGATATTATAAATATAATTTTTGTAATAAAAAAAACCTATTGCTTCTATAATTACATAGTTCAATCTACTTTGAAGCCCAGCATCACGTTTGTACATGAGAAGGGTAGCACGTTTTTTGGGGGTTTTTTTTGTTTTAATCTGTAAAACTAAACATTAACCCATCGATATTCCCGGATGTTCTAGCCTCCAACGAAACCCTGTATTTAATGGATCTGCCGCTGAAAAAAATTATAAGCCAAAAAATTATGGACCACGCCTATCTTTTTAGGTATTAAATATGGCAAAGTTATAATTCTTCTACTTTGAGCTGATCTTTCATTGATTTTTTTTTTTAAACACAGCAAATTGAGCTGAAAATATTCCATAAGATCACGGTCGTAAATAATTGCAGATACAATTTCTTTGGTGCCCTTGTGTCATTACCTGGCTTGGTTTTTAATACAAGAAGTCTTGGTTTAAGTTTGAGTAAAGCTACAAACAACATTCGTCACTAACTTCAAACAGGACATCATGAGAATACGTATGTCTTTTGATAAATGCCAGATGATGAGAAGCATCAATTTTTTTATAGTATTATTTATTTTTTATATAAATATTTAAAGTCTCCATATCAAACACTAGACAAAAAAATAAACATGTGTGATGAGAGAATATAAGGAACTGTGGTTTTTGTGCAAGTTTCAAGTTAATTTCTATAGCTAAATTCTTCTTTTAAAAAAAAAAAAACACACATAGTAGTGACAAAGACGATATCGTTCTTACAAGAACGAGACAGCGTTGTGACATGTTTAAGGGAAATGGAGTCTAAGGTAAATATCACACAGAGGCCCGCGTCCATCTTAAGTCCAGGGGCTATACATTTCTTCGAGTTTTATTTCTCAATCTTCATCATCGTCCCTTCGGTCTTCGGGGGGATCTTCAACGTGATCAACATCGCGGTGTTTTCAAAGATTGGTTTCAAAGATGGCGTCATGCTGACGTTTCTTCTCCTCGCCGTGTCCGACGCCTGCCAGCTGGCCCTAGCTCTCCTGGGCTGCCTGTTCGTTCCCGCCGCTTACATTTTAACCGATCTCCAACTTCCGGTTCCGGTAGACCCTAGCGCATTGGTGTACATCAGCATCTGGTACAACCATATGTTCTGCGACATTTCGGTTGTCATAACCACGTATCTCGCGGTGCAGCGCTGCTGCTGCGTCGCCATGCCGCTGCATTTTAAAAGCAAGTTCACCACGAAACGCACCGCGTTCGTGCTTTCGAGCATCTTTGTTTCAGTGAGCGCCACCTACGTTCCCATTTTCGAAACACAGGGTTTGCAAGGAGCACCCTCCAAGCCAAACATCACGGCAAGCCCCCAGCTCGTTTTGCGGTTGGCCCCGAATCGAGCTGTCGTTCAGGGGATAAACGACGTCATGAACAAAATTTTCTTGAAAACAGCCGGACAGGCGGTGGTCATGATGTGCTCGGTCGTCCTGTCCGTTCATCTGATCTCCGCCTCCAAGTTTCGATTGGACAACAAGACGACGCCTCTGTCCAAGACTAGCGGCGCCCCCGGGAAGAGAATGAAACTCGATCTGCAGGTCATCAAGTCTGTGACGCTGGTGTCGCTCATCTTTGTGTTCTTCAACGTGCCCAGGTTATTGTTTACGTACGGCAGGCGGATCGAGCCGGAGTTCAACATCTACCGCCGGTATGAAAGCCTGTACTACGCCATGGCGCAGGTCTGCAACGTCGCCGAATGTCTCAACGCCGCGGTGAATATCTTCGTCTACCACAACTGCAACAGGAAATTCGCGGCCGTTTTGAGAGCGTGCCTGCTTTGTAATTCTCAAGGTCAAGGGCGTCGAGGTGATGACGCGGCCGCCGAAACTTAAATTAAATAGCAACCAATATTACGGATCTCCGACATCAACCGTAGATTTAGTATTGTCATGATTTAGTCCATTGATACATTATTTCATTTGCTTAAAAATTATATTTACAAACAAAAAATGTATTAAATTTATTAAATTCAAAAGCAATAATGAGACTTAACAATGTTGGATTTTGATTTGTGCTTTATAATTTGTATGTGTTATACTGAAGTAAACTCCAAAATAAAATGTGATAATTTTTTTGCTTATAATTATAAGACAGTCTACAATTATGTTTGGTATGATCTAAAATCACTTGAGAATTTACTCAGCAGCCCATGTAATTTAGTCTTTGCGAATGTCCTATAAATTAAGACCCTGGTCGAAGGCAGGAAAGGGGGGTAGGGTGTGTCTACCCAATACAGTTTTGGAGACTCTAATTTTAAATTAAAATTTGATTTAACAAATAGTGCAAGTCGTTTAACACAAAACTGAGGGGACCGAAATATTTCTTCGAGTTAAAAATGTTGTGTGTGAAACGATGCATACAAAAAGAAAATATCTACTCGGGACCGCATGTTTATTTCATTTTAACCGATTTTTCGCATTAAACGTTCTCCATTATAGTATTATATCGCTCCTTTTAGGTTAAAATTTTAACAATAATTTCATAAGAAACTTCTCTGATTGTTATCTTGCCAAAAATGTCCCCCCTTTTTTTTTTTAAATTTCATTGACTCGTGTCTGTGCTTTATTTCTCCATCATTCGATCACGATAAATATATGACAACATAATTGCATCACAGCTTATTAGATAAATGTTGGATCCATTAAGAGTGTTGGAAGGAATCGACGTAGCATCAGAATGTCAAATAATTTTTGTTGCGAACATCGAACGAGTAAGACAGTTAAACGCAACATGAAACTAGAGCACTGGATTTGTGGGGACAAGGAGGTGAGTGATGGATCATGTGGGGAGGTGAAAATGGTAGCAAGATAAGGGGAAAGCTTTGGAGGTAAGTTGAAAAGGGGTTGATAAAATTGTGTAGTTTTGTCTGTGTTTTATTTAAGTTTTTTTTTTTTTTTTTTTTTTTGTTTTTTTTTTTTTTTTTTTTTTTTTTTTTTTTTGTTTTTTTTTTTTTTTTTTTTNATTAGAGGATGGGGGAAGCATGATGTGAAAATGTTACGGGTTTAGAGAGTATCGTTTCAGAGATGAGGAGGTAGAGATTTAGGAGCAAAGTGTATTGGGCTTAGTGGTAAGTGGGGGGGGGGGGAGTTTAGGTTGGTGGGGGGAGCTTTGGGTGGTTATATGGTGCTGTGACAGAGTTTGTCTCCTGGAGGGAGGAGATTGATTTAATAAGGTGGCGATAGCGAAGCGTCAAGTGCAATTGGTGAGGTGGATTAGATAGTTTGGGGGAAGATAGCAATGAACAGTGTGTATATATGGAAAGTCAAGATAGTTATGTACAGGGGGCATAAATGGAAAGACAAGATAAGCATGTACAAGGTGTATATAAGGAAGGACAATATAGCAATGTACAAGGTGTATGTAAGGAAATACAATATAGCAATGCACAGGGTGTATGTAAGGAGAGACACTATAGCAATGCACAGTGTGTATGTAAGGAAATACAATATAGCAACGTACAGTATGTCTGTAAGTAGAGACAATATAGCAATGCACAGGGTGTCTGTAAAGAAAGACAATATAACAATGCACATTGTGTCTGTAAGGAGAGACAAGAGCGGTTTGTACAGGGGGCTTTACCGAAAGACAAGATAAGTATGTAAGGAAAGACAAAGCTGACGTTTGAAAAGACCACACTTGCTTGTCGCTGTCACGGTGTGATTTTAGTAGTAATTCAACAACATTTTGGTCACGTGACTCGACAAAATCGATCTTCGATTTGCCATGACAAAGGAACGGGCGTGATAAAGAATAAAGATTCTTCAGAAAGGAGTAAATGTGAAATGCTTAGGTAATTGTGTGCATATCATAACATGTCAATAATAGCTGCTCTGTTTTAGTTAACTAGGACAGTTTATCAACATGTTCTTGATCCAACTATCGTACGCCGAGGCAAGCAAGTAACTTTTTATCAGGTGCTTAGCGCTGCTAGTTACATTAAAGCAGAACTTTTTTTTGAAATAGATGTATTAAAAGAAAAATTAACTTAACATTTTTTTTTAAACTTTTGCTTTGTATCTAAAGTATCGTGATCATTCTGTGACATCACGTGATCATTCTGTGACATCACATGGTCACATGTGTTGCTGTTTTATTTATTTGATTTTTTACAAATCCATTTCATTGTCTATGAACATTATTTTTTTAATGACGCAACATTATGTGTACGCTTCGTTGCCCATGAGATTGTAGCCTCTGAGTTTTGTAAACGTCTGAATTTTTTCAAGCAACGTTACCTGGCGTCACCATCGGTCATCTTCCTGATAGAAGACACCTAAGCTTGGCTGTGTGTTCTAATCAAATAATTTCCGGTTCCGAATCCATAAAGTGTACAGTTGATTTGAAACTATGCATGTGTTTTAAACAATTTGAATATTCAGTAGCAGGGTGGTCACACATTGACCCAATTTGTTGGAAGTGCCAGGCTGATCTAGGTATTCTCAAACAAGGGAATTTTAATCTTCTTTGCCTTGTCAACCACCTTTCGAGGGCAGACACATTTCTTTCGAAGTCTTACCGTCTTTTTAATCTTCCCCAACCAACTCTTTCCAACATATAAGATTTTAAATGCATCATCTTCTACCTCTCTGCACTAGCTGGTGTAGGGTATCTTCCCCCCCCCTTGATCCTTGGGTGTTCCATACCAGTGCTTGTATTTGGCATTGGTCTTCTCATGGTACTACCTATCGTCCTCTCTTCTCCTTTCTATTATTGCCTTCTGTATTCTTGCCTATTGCATTCTTGCCTTCCGTATTCTTGCAATCTATATTTTTGCCTTCTGTATTCTTGCCTATTGCATTCTTGCCTTTTGAATTCTTGCCTTGATATCTGCCTCTGATCCTCCGATCTCTACTAATTCCAGTGAGAAAACAGCAACAGCGGGGAACCTTATGGAGGAATCAATGATGGAATCTCAATGCAGGCCACAAGTATGTTTTTATAGGTTATAAATGCCATGGACACCAAATATATGTATAATATATGAAGAAACACTTGGTCAAGATGCTAAGATTTGAACCACCATGGGCTTGCCTAATACAAATTTCCATAATTGCTACACATGAGATAACCCTAGCTATTTAAAACAAATAAAACCATTACCTTAACAAACAATCATACATGCATATATATAATATTTAGTCACAGAAGACCTGCCTAAATAGGAGCCAGAATGATCAATTCATTGATCGTGGGCCCTCAAAACCTAGAAGAAGAAGAAGAAGAAGAAGAAGAAGAAGAAGAAGAAGAAGAAGAAGAAGAAGAAGAAGAAGAAGAATACACTCTTAGGTTGGGGGGCCAAAGTCCCGTAAAAACGGGATAGTCTCATTTCTTCACGATCGTACCCGTTGTCTGGAAAAAGTCTCTTGGGACGCCTAAATGTCCCCTTTTTGAAACCAGACACATTTTCTAATCATTAAAACTTCCTAATTTATTATATATCTTCAAGTAATATTTTGGCTAGCTGTTTAGCCAGTACCAGTATGGATGTGGGATCGCGAGATGGCTGCACTGTTCCCTCTCCACCACAGTGTCCCTCCCATAGATCTTATATGTAAATGTATAGCGAAAGACACGAGACATGAAACCGCGGCTCGGGTGGGGGGGGTGGCAATGTAACTGCGCAGAAACCAATTTTGATTCCGCTACGTATAATGTGTTAGTCTTATGTGAGATCCCTGCCGGCCTGTTCGTATCAGAGGGACAGTCTTATGTGTGATCCCTGCCGGCCTGTTCGTATCAGAGTGATAGTCTTATGTGTGATCCCTGCCGGCCTGTTCGTATCAGAGTGATAGTCTTATGTGTGATCCCTGCCGGCCTGTTCGTGTCAGAGTGACAGACTTATGTGTGATCCCTGCCGGCCTGTTCGTGTCAGAGTGACAGACTTATGTGTGATCCCTACCGGCCTGTTCGTGTCAGAGTGACAGGCGTTTCTTTTGGGTGTTGAAGTTTATTCTTTAATTTTATATTCTCTTCTCACGTAGACAATAATTATGCCCAAGCGTCAATTTCAGTTTATGGATGAGTATTCCAAAGAGTGGAACTCTATTAAAAAGGGACGCTATGAAAGAGAAGCTGAGTGCACAGTTTGCAATAGTGTTTTTAGTTTTGGTCATGGTGGACGTTCAGACATAAAACAACACATCACTTCAGTGAAACAGGAAAAGATTGAGTGCCACAAGTAGATTTCTGGGTTAGATTTCATAGTTAAAATGAGCATATTTCAATAAATAGTTTCCGGCTGAGGCCCCCCCCCCCGGACCCCTTTTTAGCAGGAAAAAAGAAAAACGCCCCTTGAAAGTGTCCCGTTTTTTTCCATGTCATGATTTGGTCACCCAATCTTCGATAGGATGTAATGAAGGGAGCTGCAAAGAATGGTAAATCCTCAATAGATATGTAGTTGAAATTGTAGCAAAGAATAGCGACTCAAATTAATTTGTTTACATTTTGTAAACATGCATTTTTTTTCCAATGTGTTACAAATTTTAAAGTACTTTGAAATATCAGAAAGTGTAGATAACCTTCACGCAGGGCCAAGCGAAAAAAAAGTGTGTGTGGGGAGGGGAGGGGGGTGAAGGTGGCACTCGCCCATCAGACCCTTCATGGGGCTCTATCGTCTCTATAAATACAATCACTTTAAAGTAAATCAAACAATCTTCTATAAACGAGAAGGACTGAAAACCAGTATAGAAAGAAAAAACTATTCCAAAACCATTGCTATTAACAAGTATATAATAATTTAGATGGGTGGATGGGACTCGTTAACCTTGGACGGCAACTCATCTAAGAGAAGGAAACTCTGAAATCAAACCCGGAGATGGAGTCTCGAAAGGCGGATAACATTGGTACAATGAAACATTCCGACAACTCCTGCG